ACAGCATGGGGCCAGGGATGGGGACTTGTGCTGGGCAAGTGGGAAGGGGATGAGGAGCAGCCCTCTCTCCCCCCTTCTCCCTCCGGTGGCACCCAGGGCTGACTGGGCCAGGGCCAGCAGGCAAGAGGCAACCTGGGTCAGGACAACGTCCCTAAAAAGGTGAGGAGGCAGCCAGAAGCTCAGTGAGGGGATCTGGAGGAGCCAGGAGGGGCCACAGGGGCAGCTCATGTCCACGTGCACCAGGGACCCCTTCCACAGCAGGCCAGCTGTGGCTGGACCCCCTGAACAGTGTCACGAGCGTGTCTGTGCTCAGTGCTCTGCATGGAGAGGGCTCCAGCTGACCTCCCCAAACTGGTGTGTCTGGGAGATGCCCGTGTCGCTGGGCACGGCTCAGCGCTCAGGCATGTCCCGGATTTCTAGGCAGGCAATACAGAATTGTTCACAGCAGGAAAACAGATGCTGACCATGAACTGTTGCAGCTGGGTGTGACGGACCTTGGTGGCCAGGTGATAAAATGACACCGTTTCAATAACCACAAGCTGATGCTCAGGGGAAGGATACCAATGACACCTGCAAGGGGCTATATACTCATATACTAACCCCATTACCTCTTAAAATGATTTTGGAGTCACAGCAGAGCCTTCAGTTAAGCCTGGGAGCCTGGGGCTTGGCAGTGAGCAGAGAGGTAAATACAGCGCCCGTGACAGCACTGCGCCGTCTCGCAAAACCGGTGCGGGCTCCGGATCCTGCTCGGGGCACAGGGTACCTGAGCACGGCAGGAGCCGTGGCTGAGGCGTCGCCGTGCCTCTGCCTTGCTTGGGGCATGAAGGTGCTGTTGGCCGCTGTCGGGGTGGTGGTCATCGGGGCTGAGCTGCATCGTCCTTCTGGTTTGGTGTCCCTCGCCTGCTATCGCAGTTTCTGCAGCAGAGGTGCCCCGGGGTCAGCAGTGCTGGGTTGTTCCCTACATTTCTCCTGCTGAGAGGCCGACATGCGCTGCGTTGCCCACGTCCCTGCTGTCTGGGAGCAGGGTGGGCTCCCTGGCGGTGTGCTCCGGGCCGCGCTCCCTGCGGGCGATGCTGGAGTCCTCTTCCGCAGGCAGCAGGGCCAGTTCCCTGTTCACGCTGGAGCTCTGAGAGATGGGGTGGTTGGTTTGTTCCTCAGCACCACAACAGTCGCCCCATATTTTGGTAGCCCACTCCTTGTTGCCCCCTTCAAGCAGCCACTGAACATGCCCGGTAGAGCTGTGAAGCAGAGGGCCTTGTGTTCGGGGGCAGACTGTGACCCATGTACTGCGGCAAGGCCATCAGCTGCCGGACCTTGTGTGGTTGGTGTGTTACCCTTCCAGAGCTAGCAAGGTTTTACGGATCACCCTGGGGTCACTTACATCATGTCGTATATAAACTTATTTCCTAGCCCAAATGGAGAGGAGATTTTGGCGATGCCTCCTGCAGGATCCAGCTCCAGATCAGTCGGTGCGTCTGGATGCCTCTGGAGGTGACAGGATCCCGTTGTGTCCCACGAGTCGCTCTGGCAGGGCAGGCTGGGTCTTGGGTCGCTTTCTGAAACATCTCCGCTTGCTGGGGCTGAGGCTGCAGGCCACATGGCTTCTCCTGAAATCCTTTGGCTGAAATCCTACCAAGAACCATTTTGCTTTTGCCTGGTTAACTCCGGGAGTGGAGGAGGGATGCCCAGGAACATGCAGCGTTCTCTGCTCTGAGCTGTTCCAGGAGGTTGTGGGTGGCTGGGTCAGCCCAGGGGCACCATCAGCAGCCAAGACAGGAGATGTGAAGGGGGCCTGAGGGGATGGCTTCAGATTGCCGCTTTTAAGGTCCAAACAAAGCAAAGGCATCTCAGACAAATGGCTGATACTCAGGGACAGGAGCTCTGCCACCCCCCAGAGCCCCTGATAAAACCAGCCAGACCAGCTGGAAACCAGTCCCCAGCCATGGGATTGCGCATCAGCATCTTGGGGGGTTTGGAGGAGATGGAAGCGTCCTCTGGCGAGGCAGGTTTGGGAACCACCCTTCTGCCACCTCCCCCTCCCCCCCTGCCCGGGCGGTTGGGGGGTCCCTGCTGTGCTCCCCCACGTGCGGGGCATCCCGAGGGCTTGCTCCCACGCTGCGCAGCCCCGTCCTGACGGCGCAGCCTCCGTCTGCTGCTGCAGGAGACCCCCGGCAAGCAGCTGTGGTGGGTCGGCAGGGGCTCCGGGCTGCTGGGCCGTGGGAATCGGCTGCCGCAGGCCTGGCGTGGGCTGGGTGCCCCCAGAAGCCCAGCCTCTGCGTAGGTGACAGGATCTCTGTTTGGGCTGGCCCTTTGCTCTCCCATGCGTGGCTCTCATCGTCTCGCTGGCGCATGCAGCAGCATCTCATTTTGGTGCCAGCTTGCTTAGGCACAGTTTTCCTTTCCCTTCTTGCTTGATGCTGAGGATGTCCTGGATGTGCCCCCCAGCTCATCCCCCATCACCTGCTCCTCTGCTGCACCCACCTCCCGCCCCCATTTTTGCCAAGCTTTGCCTGGTATTTTATGACATGTTTCACACTAAATTATTGTCCTGTGTCACTGATACATCGATGGCTTGAGCCTCTGTTTCCCTGATACAAAGCCATTTCCCCGTTCTTCCTGCCCGTTTTGGCAAAGGGCCCTATAGCAGTTACCCCATGGGACTTCTCCACTGCGTTTTTCCCCGACGCTCCCAAATCTTCCCCTGCACCTTCTGGCCTGGCACGTTTTTGCATTTGCTCTTGCAGCAATAGCGGTGTGCTGCTTTCCTCGGATGCTCTCGCTCCAAGAGCTCCTGGCTCTTCCCTGCCCCAGTTAATGTTCCCCCTTTGCAAATGAGCTTGTTCAGTGGCTCCACGCGCATCCCAGCGCTCTTCGTAGCCTGCCGGCAGCTTGTGTGGGTTTTGTCCTGTTAATAGTCTGTCCCAAACTGGTACCCCACTAACTGTACCCCTGTTGCACCACGTGCCAAGGTGCCCACCTCTTGTTCCTCCGGAGCCAGGGTTACTTATTCCGTGTCCTTCAGGCTCTGAGGTGCCCCTGCCGCGCAGCAGGGACGCGGTGGAGGTGACGCCGTGCGCAGCGGAAGGGGAGGGTGACGGTGTGCGGGAAGGAGCGTGGGTGTTTTGGGAGGATGTAGCGGGAAGCGGAGGGATGTGTCTGCGTATCTTGAGTTGGTGCTTAAGTAAAGGGGAGAAATTGCAGTGCTCAGCATCCGTCCCCTGGCGCTTCTGTGTTTGCTTCTCAGTGGTCGGATCCTGAGGCGCTCTCTATGCTGCAGAAAAGCCTGGATTTGCCTCTGCTAAAACGTCCCTTGGCAACAGTTTTAACCCCCTGCCCAGCTCAGAAAGCTTTGTGAAAAATAGATGGCAAGCCCACCGTAAATCAGTCCAAGTACAGGCGTGAATGGGTAAAAGTAATGAAATGTTCTATTTTATTGCCAGTTGTGCTGTATGGATCTTTGCTGTCCTCAGTCAAGGAATATAACGGGAAAAGTTTATCCCAGTTCTCAGTCTGTGCCAAATGGGAAAGCACTGTCAGTCACAGCTAATGAGAACCCACAGCTTGCAGGGGCCTGTTCCCCTCTCCCACTTAAACATAAAACCAAAGCCTCTTTTCAGAGTATGAAAAATTGGGGTCTGGTGCAGAACGGCCCGATACTGCAAACCCCTTCTCAAATAAATACAATTCCCAAGCGAATGGGGTTGCTGCCGGAATGAGCATTGCAGGGAAGGGGGAACTCACAGGACTGGCCAATGAAGCAGATTTCTTTTTCCCATCACTTAAGGATAAAACTAAAAAACCTGACTGAAATGTATTTATGGGTTAATCTTTATATTTGGGCTGTGACCGATGTGCTCAGAGGTTTAATTCCCAAAGGCCGGGCTTTGGCAAGTTACTAAAGGCTGAACGTAACCGAGACCAGGGGGGGTGTAATTTTAAACTTGGAAAGGTTGAATTTGCAAACTTCATAACTGGATCTACTGGTGGGTCCCAGCATGGTGACCCCGGTGTCGTGTCTTCTGCTGGTCCTGCGGGTGACCTATGGGGGTGCATGGGGCTCAGTGCCGCTTGGCCCCCGTGCTGCAGGCACCTGCTGGGCTCCTGCCCGCCTGCGCTGGGCTCCTGCCGCCCGCTGTCCCTGCACCACCACTTCTCACGAAGCTTTTCTACCCGACACAGGTTGTGAACAACGCCTGGAGCCTGGGACGGCACCAGCAGCTGGTTTAGCATGCGAAGATGTGCCTGTGCCCTGGCTGACCTGCCCACTGTCCTGGTCCCCGCTGCCTGGCCCAGTTGGCGCCATGGGAGGATGCTTCTCCAAGCCCAAACCAGGTGACTGCCCTTCTGCACCGTGCTCCCGTCCCGCTGTCCCCATGGGGAGAAGTAGGTCAGCGGCAGTGGCTGCTGGCCGGGGGAATGTTAATTCTCGGCTCCCGCAGGGAGGATTACCGGCCTGTTAATCCCCCCAAATTCCTTAGCACTCTCACTACCCAGCAGGGAGCTGTGCGGGGGCTGCGCGGTGCCAGGGGGCGGTGGGTGAGCAGGAGGAGAGCTCAGCCCGCACTCCACGACCCCATCCAAACACCCATGGCCAGTTCTTCCCTGTCCCACCTCCCATCTCCTTGCCCCGCACGCTGCCGCTCCAGCTGGGCTGGGGGGGGCTCCCCGCTCCTTGTGGTTGCGTGGCGGCGGGCGTCCATAGGAGAGGAGGGGGCTGCGGTGCCGGCTGCGTGGGCACATGGGCTGGTCGAGGGAAGCTTGGTGTGGAGGTGTCAATGTTAAGCCTTGTCCTGAGCTCCTGCCAGCGGCGTGGGCATGAGCAGGCACCGCGTGCCCGCCCGGGCTCATCGCACCCAGCAGCACCCGTGTCGCCCCAGCACTTGTCCCCAGGGACTGATGCTGGTGCCTGCGGGGCTGGGGCAGTCGGCATCGCTGAAGCTGCCTTTGAGGAGGGCTCTGGTCCGGCAGCTTGTTTTGGCCACCAGGGAGGGAGCTGGAGGACGACCCTGTCCTTGTTACCCTCTCGTGCCCAAGGGCAAAGGGGATCAGTCGGTCGCACTGGTCTATCAGATCAGCCACACGTAACCTTTGTGGGTGGAAAAATGTCTGCTGGGGACCTTTTATTGGCAATTTGTCTTCATTGCCTCAGGCAGTGGGGATTTTGGGTTGAGGGACTCGATGGGTCAGAGGGGCAACACAAGTCGTGCCTGCGATCCACTGAGCACCCACCAAGCGAGGTCCTGTGGGCAAAACCAAGGCGGTTTTCTGCCCTTGGCCTGTACCGTGGTCGTCCTACGGGACGTTGCAGCACCAGGGTAGTGGGGCACTGGACTCTGCAAACTCTACGTTTTCCTCCATGAAAACCCACGCTGGTTCTATCCTTCCTTGAAAGGTTTAAGGAGTGAAAACGCATCCAGGAATAAACGCCATTGTTGGCTGAACTTGTGACAGACTCTGCTGGCAGTCCCACTTTATTGTGGACACCATCAGCACAACCGTGTTTAATCTTGGACTGGTGCAGGAGCCGAAGCGCTCCGCAGGCGATCTCCTGAGCTGCCGTTGTTCACGTAGAGCCATGTCTGCATAGCAGGGCCAAGTGGCTGAGAACACCACCCAGTAACGCAACGCGCCCTCCGCAACACTGGGTTTCGTTAGCAGCCTTCGGAGGAGCCCTTCCCCACCCCTGGTTAGCACACCACTGGCTGCTGCACTTCATCTCCCTGCTTAGAAAACCCACAAAGGCAGGGAGGCAAACGGGTGCGACTGCAGACACCGATCGTTCTGGCACAGAGGTTTCACCACCTTCCTGTGGTCTCTGTTGTTCCCATTTCTTGCGGGAGCTGTGCGCCATCAGAGCTAAGCAGTGGATCCGCCCTCCTTCTAAATATCAGCCCCCTGTCGCAATGAGAAGCAAGTTGTGCAGGGACAGAGCAGAGCTGTTTTCTCCATCAGTGGTGTTTCAGCATGAATGGAGTAATTCAGATGCAGCATGAAGTCAACAGAATTTATTTAGGCACTTTTGGAAGGTGTGCACAAGGTCCTCACCTGCCCTGTCTTCTTGGGCCCTCGGGAGACCCTCGGTCCCCCGGAGCACCCTCAGCACTCCTCAAGATGACCTTGATGTTGCAGGCGCATTGCTGTGTGCCGGGGAGACCTTTGGTGAGCAGATCGTGGGTACAGGAGCTTCGGGGAGCGGAGGCCTGCGACAGTCGATAACGGCGCTGGCTCTACCGGAGGCCAGCCGGGAAATCTGGCTGCTGCTGCTGCAGTGCCCAACCCCATCCTGATATTGAAGTGTTTAATTAGGAGCTTATACTGAAGGAGCAAAGTAAGCTTCTGTTATCTCTTGTGCTGCAGCCCCGTGACACCAGATCCTCTGCTGAAGGCCCGGTTCTCAATCTCTGCATCATTTTTTTTCTCTGGTTTTGTCTCTGGGTGCGTGATGCCTATGCGACGAGCTGCCAGCTGGCAGCCTGCGTGGGATCCCAGCACCCGCTGCAGGCGAGGCAGCCAGGCCAGGATGACGGGTGAAGGGAACCATCCTGCGCCAGCGACCGCCCGGTGTGAGCTGCAGCAGCACCGTCTCTGCGCCAGGGCGGCTTGCAAACCCTAGAAAGTCGTGGTTGTTTCTCTTTGCACTCTCTGCTGGGCTGAGGGGCTGGTGGCGGGGCAGGGCAGCAGCTCTGGCACGGCGCGGGCGCCTGCGGGGCCAGCTTTGCCCCCGCGCAGAGGAGGCATTTGGCTCTGAGCAGGGAACCAGCCCCTCCAGGGGATGCAGGAGGGGCTGCCGTGGGCTGTGTGTCCTTTGGAGCTTGGCTCCGAGGGTGCCCCCAGGCTTGGCTGGCGAGCCCTACCTCCTGGTTTTTGGGAGCCTGGCGTTTGCTGAGCAGGGTGCCTGGAGAGGGAGTGTAGAGCCGGGCACGTTTGACCTGATGGTTTTGTCATTGGCTCTGTCATTTTTAATAGAAGTGGTTTGGGGTCTCTTTGAGAGCACCCAAAGCAGTTGTCGTCGAGGTTTGCAGTTCAGAGGCAGCGCAGGCGAGCCTGGGCAGAGCCAGACCCCAGACGTGTCCCGTGGCAGTGGATTTACTCGGTGCTGGCTGTGGAAAAATAAACACTGCTGGGGTAACCCAGGCTTTTGGGCCGTGCCCGCCGTGCCCTGCTGGTCCCTCCATCATCGCTACCCTCGATGCTTTTCTGGTGTCCGCTGCTCTCAGAGGACAAGTACAAGGCAGTACAAGGCTGTTCCCTGCCCTCAGAGCTCCTCTGCCCTGGGTGCTGTGCCTGGGGAAGGCGGACACGGGGCTCGCCCCTCCGCCCGCCCAGCTCCTCCATCCCCATCCCTCGTGGCCAAGGCATCTCCCTACAACTGCCTGAGAGGAGGGGGGAGGGAACAATTCCTTCCCCTTGGGGCTGTCAGGTACTGGAAGGGGCTGCCCAGGGAAGGGGTCGAGTCCCCACCCCGGGGGGTATTTAACAGCCGGGCAGGCGAGGTGCTGAGGGCCAGGGTTTAGTGGTGGGATGGCAGGGGTAGGGGAGCGGTTGGGCTTGGGGATCTGAAAGGGCTTTTCCAACCCAAACAATTCTGCAGATCTATGATTTGATCTCACCCAGCCTCCCCCAGATTCCAGCCGGCTCTTGGCTCCTGCCAGGCCTCTCTTCCCCTGCACCGCCCTGTTAACTCAGTATCGTCCTTATTTCTTCCATTTTACGTGTGACACTTAAACGGCCTCACACCCGTGGTTTAAATGTGGCCTCTAGAGGGGCACTGAGCCATACTGGGAATCTAATCCTGTGCTAAAGAAATCTTGGGTCATTTCATCGCCCTCATTTTTTAAAACAATGACCGTGGCCCTGGGCTGCAGCCCAGCCCCCATCCACCCGCCAGCGCCCGGCCCGAGGGTCGACTCCAGCATCCCTCGGGTACCTGCCTAAAAGCAGGCAGAGGCTTTGACTTGTCCCACAAGGCTGTGAATGGGGATGGAGAAGGAATGAATTTGTGGGCGACATAACGGGGTATTAATGACCGATGGCCCGGTGTGAATGACATGGGGTAAAGCATGAGCAAAACAACCCAAAACTGAGCCAAGCGTAATGAACGGGGTTGGGGCGCAGTTCCTGGGGGGGGTCCTGGATGTGCTCCGACCTTAGGGCTGAAAACATACAAGGAAAAAAAAAAATTGGGTCAAAATGTATCGTCTTGACAAGAGTCTGCATTTTAGCGATTCTGTGATTTTTTTGGGGAGCTGACTCAGGATTTTTGAGCACTAAGAGCTGGCAGCGCTGAGGTGGGTGCGGGTGTGTGGTATGAGCTAACGCTCAACTGCTTCATCTGCGTCTTTGTATCTTCTCCTAAAACGCTTCCAGGCCTGGCCTCCTGGTCCTTCATATATATATGTGTGTGTGTGTGTGTGTATAGATAAAAAATACATATATGTATTAAAAATGTCCATGAACACACAAAATCACATGCGTATATGTGTGTATAACTGACGCCGGTGGCACAGGGCAAGCAGGCATATCCATGTCTCTATATATCTATATCTGTATCTATAGATCTATATCTATACTTAAATCTGTATCATCTCTATCATCTCTATCTCTATCATCTCTATCTCTAGATGCACATGTATACACGCCGGGAGCGCAGCCGTTGCTCTGCCCACGGCCATCGCCCTCGTCCCACTGGCCGCAGCCAGGGCAGTGCCGCTGCATGACAGCGGTGGCCTTGGCCAGTCCCCGAGGAGTCGGCCACTGTACGGATTTGTAGGCATGTGCCTGAAACTTGCCCAGCAGTTTGCTTTGAGGTCAGGAACCTTTCCTAGCAGTTGCAGAAAATGACTGGTGAAGGGAAGGAGCACGCCAGACCCAGCCGCGCCAGACCCAGCCGTGCCGTGCTGGTCGGATTTCACATTTAAACTTGGGCTTATAAATATTTCATTTAAATGTCATTTTTCCCTGATGGCAATTGAAGCAGTTTGCTGGATCAGCTCAGGTGCCGCTGAGCCCCAGATTCCTGGAGGGATCATCCCTCGGGAATGCAGGGGGGACACCCCACGTGGGGCTGGGGGTGGGGGGAGGAGGAGGAGAGGGGATAAAGGTTGAGGGAGAGGTGAGTGGGAGTTGCCCCCCATGTAGGCAAGTGGCAAAGTGTGAGGCCCAAAATAGGAGGGGGGAAGACTTTATACCCCTTTTTCCTTTCCTCTGGAGATTTGCCCAGCAGTGTTGGTGCGTGCTGAGCGGGGGCGGCTGAGAACGCCATTGCGTACCAGCACCAGAGACCCACTGCCTTTTGCGTGTGTTTTTCTGACCAAGAAAGAAGTGAGGAGCTCAGAGCTAAGCTTTGTCCTTCATCCCCCAGGATCGCACGCCCCGGGATCAGCGGGCGCTCCGGGTGCTCGCCTGACACAAATGGAGTTTGGAAAACAAAGCTCTGGGGCATCGGGCCAAGCGGGAGATGGGGGTGGTTCCCTGCAGGGTGAAGTCACTGGTGTCAGTGTCACCGTTAGAGCTCGGAGCTGCCGGCTTCGCCATTGCCAGCCCAGTCTCATCCTGTGCCGCAGGCAGCAGCACGCTGCCCGGCTCCGGGCTCCGGCCGCAAGGATGCGCAGCCGCGCTCGCTCCAGATGAATGTCCGATTGCCTGCGTAATCGAATGAAATGATCCTCCTGTTTCTTTGGCCAAAGCATTTCACAGGGACTGACATAAGTATATGTTCATTCCATTTCCTAACTCTGTCCTGGAAAATCCATGTCTGCTTTCCCAAGCGCTGCAGGAAAACCATGCGCGTGGCTAGCAGCCTCTTTGCTGGGTACCTGCAAGGGAGCTGGGCGCTTCGGCAGAGCTCATAGCCCCCTTCATTTATTTCTATCGCATGGCACTGGGCCCGTGGGTTTGCAGTAACCCCTGCAGCTGGCAGCCACAGTAACGCAACCCAAGTTCACATCTTCTGGTGGTTCAGCGTGGATACACACAAATTTGCTTTACTGGAGCCAGTGAATCCCGCCCCCGGTGCATGCGAGGATTTGGCACTTTGGCAAAAAGCCGCCCTGTCCCCTGCCCTGCTGAGCTGGCCCGGAAAGCAGAGACTCGCAGGACTCTTGAAACAGCCACCCGCCTCCAGCGCCTGGACGGCCAGGGCCGCGGCCACAGGCTTTTCTCCCTTCCCAAATGAACACCCTCCCCCCGACCCTTCCTTCCATCATCCTCACAGTGGACTCGCAACGGACGGCGTGGGGCGGCAGCCACAGCTGGGAGGACCCCGCGCCCTGCTCTGGCTGTGGGGCTCGTCCCGCTCTTCGGGGGCTCGTTGTTCCCCTCTCTTGGCCTTTCCTTAAATTGTTTAGGTTGTGAGATTTGATTTTTTATCTTCTGCACAGCTTTTCCTGCTCGTGACATTTATGAGGCGGGGAAAGCTCAGCAAACTCCCATTTCCCCAAGACCCTTCTTCAGCCTCTGGCACTTACCTCCTGGCTCGCCGCGGAACTCCCCTAGGGTTTGTTATAAATATTAATGGCTTTAGGTTTATGAAGTCCCCAGGAGCTCAAGGGATGTTTTTCATGTTAGGATGTGAGAGCTCATCGCCATTCTCTGACGCCTCCGTGCCCAGCTTGCTGCCCCGGGCGCGTGGGTGCGTGCGGGGCAAACATCCGCAGGTCCCCACGTACCCCAGGGGAACCGGGGGGACGGGGGAGCCATGCACGCACCGTGCTGGCACGAGTAGCTCCCGTGTGTCCCTGGGTCCCCGGGCCGGGGGCGCCTTTATTGCCGAGCCCGCTCAGTGGCGTACGCCTCAGCAAAGCGGCCGGTCCTTGCCCCCTCACTTAACGCTGAAGATTCACCCTGCGCTGCCAGCCTCCTGCAGCAAGAGCTGTGGGTGTTTCTAGCGCCTTGCTAATCGGTCTCCATCTAATGCAGCCCTTTAGCCGCCATGCAGTCTTGGCTTTCCCCTCCAGTTAATGTTACCTGCAAACAGTTAAAGGGTTTTTTGAAGCCTCTCCGAGCCCCAGGGGCCTTGGCAAGCCTCACGTTCAGCTGCCCAGAGCTGTTTTCCACTAAACAGGATGGGAGCTGTGGCTGGGGGTTGTTTTGCACCAGTGACTGATGCCTGCTTGCGAGAATGCGACTTCATGCACGCAAAGGTGCCCGACAGAGAAAGATCAGTGGAGGAATGGGCTTGGGTAATCGAGCCCGAGTCTGATATTAATGCTTTATTTTCCCAAGCAAGCCAAGAAAAAGTGTGGGTTCTGCTGTCTGTCAGCCCCTTTGGCACCCAGGGGGGAGAGGCAGGATGGCAGCAAAACCTCCGGCCTCGTAGTGAGGATTTCTGTTTGCTCCTGCAGTGGAAGTGAAAATCGAAGTTGTGATACCTGAGAAAGAGAGGAGCAAGGAGGAGATGTCACCCAACGGGAAAGCCAGCCCCCTCATCTATAAAGTCAACGGGACGGCACGGCATTACCACCTCGAGGAGCATCCCATTGCCAGCAATCCCTACCACATCCCGAAGGACGTGGTGGAAGCGTCCGTGTGCCACGTGAAGGACCTGGAGAATGGACAGTAAGTGCCTAAAGGTTCTGCAGGCAGAACTTGGGAGCCCTTATAACCCAAACTGATGCCCCTGTCTGGTTGTTTAGAGTTTCTGGAGATGATAATTTAATTTAGCAATTTTTTTTTTTTAATCTTAAGAAAATGGCATCACAGACGAGCGACAACTGGTTTTTTACCAAAGGCCTGCTGTGCCCCGCACAGTCCGTCTCAGAAAGACGTGATGTGATGTAGCAGGGTTTCTCCACGGGCTCTGCGCAGCTTGCATTAGAGAGCCCGGGCAGTTATTCATGCGTTTATCACCTCGGTGGTTTTGCAGCGCAGCACGGGTGGAGCTGATGGGGTGGATGGCGCGTGGCACCGCTCCAGCTCTGGCGTGCTCTTCCAGCCCAGCTCACCCCTTCCAGGCTGCCGATTCACCACCAGTGCGGTGTTGCGCGACTTTTGCGAGCGGCAGCACGCCGCAGCTGCGTACAGTTCCACTGCCCCGATGTAAGAGGTTTCTGACGTCCCAAGGCGCCGGTCCCGGTCGCCGTGCCTCGCAGGCCGGTGTCCCTTGGCAGGGGTAGGTGTGCCTCTTCTGCAGCACCTTCCTTAGTCTGACAGCTCAGCGGGCTCCGTCCTTGTGCGAAAGAAAACGTAGCTCGAAAGAGCTTTAATTCCCGTGAGGGAGGGATGCCGGGTGTGCGGGACACAGCCGGAGCCCGGCAGCTTTTTGCTTTACATTGAGCTATTGCTCATGATAGTACTCTGGAATAATCCGGGTGCTAAGGGCTACTTTGTGCTAAGCTCAAGGGGCTTCATGGGCTGTAAATTCTTCTCATCAGGTGAGTTCATCCAGGAAAAACTGTTTTTTCATTGTGATGGGAATTTACATGTTAGACCGTTCTACGAAGGGATGCCCCAGGCTCTGTCGATTTAAACCTCACATGCCGAGGTGTGGCAGACCCAGCGAGCTTGGAGAAGTGCTGGAGGGCCACTGGGGCCCGGAGGCAAACGGCCTCCTCCGGCGAGGTGCAGGAGCGAGGGGTCGGTAGAGACACGGTGGCCTGGAAGGCAAGCAGAGTGGCTGCCGGGCTGCTTCTGGGAGGTGACGGGCAACCTCCTGCGCTGGCGAGCGGCCACAGCATGGCTGGGGATGAGGGGACCTGGGGCAGCGCACAGGCAGTGACCAGGATTGCCTTGGAGCTGGAGCGAAGCCAAATGGGGAGACTATCCTGGGAGATACTGGTTGCCCAGGGGGAGTCCTGTTCCAGCGTCAGGACATGGCCTCATGCCCAAACACCAAGCACTGGCGGAGGCAGCTCCTGCTGCCTTTGTGTCTGGGCTGCTGCTGGGACAGCGCGCTCTGCTCTGGTGCCCCAGTGCAAGAAGGATGCTGGAAAATTAGGGCTGAAGTAGATGCCCAGACTGGCAAGCCTGCAGCTCTGCCAGTCACGGGGAAGGGGAGGAGGGAGCTGGCTGCAGACCACGGGGACGTACCTGGCTGCAGACCATGGGGACATACCTGGCTGCAGACCACGGGGACATACCTGGCTGCAGACCATGGGAACGTACCTGGCTGCAGACCATGGGGACATACCTGGCTGCAGAACATGGGGACGTACCTGGCTGCAGACCATGGGGACGTACCTGGCTGCAGACCACGGGGACATACCTGGCTGCAGGGAGCTGCACAGCGGAAGCCAGGGCTGGAAACCAGCATCGGGCTGGAAACCAAGCTCAACCACGTCTGTGTTCAGTTCCAAAACGTGCCACCCAGTACAGCAGCAGACTCGCCATTGCTGGGTGTTTTGAGTTGAGAATAGCTTTTTGCCTGGCAGGCTGAGTCTGGCTCCAAAGAGCGGTGCTGCGAGGGGGTCCTATGTCTCCTGTACGCGATGGGCCTGCCCAAAGGGGGCTCTTCTTGCTCTGATACCCAGAGGGATTTTCCAGGATGCTTGTCCCAAGGGGGTGCATGGGCACGGTGGCAGTGCAGGGCACTGGCCAAGGGTTTGGGCACCTCTGCCTTGCACTAGCAGAGTCTGAGAGCACCAGTTGCTCTTTCTCACCCACGCTTTCTGTCTTTCTGGTGCCATGGCGGTCTCAGCAGAACCAGTAAAGGATCCCAGAGAATAAACTCAGGTGCTGGTGATTTGCTGGCTGGGGGGGTTGATGAGCTGCAGGCAGAAAATGGCCCCCAGTGCTCCCTCAGCTCCTGGGCAAAGGTCCTGTGTGGGCCAGAGCTGAGCTTTAGCTGGTGCTTCCGCGTGCGGCGACAGGACAAATTCCCAACTGTGTAAATAGCTCAGCCGGAGCAGTGCGGCATAAATCATCCTTGCAGGTGGCCGTGTGCTGCCTTGAAGACACCAGGTCTTGTTTTTGACTCTCTCAGGTCACGCAGTTCCTTGGGTAAGCTGTAAACCCTTGCACTTATCTTATCTTCCCCCAGAGTTATGGCTGTCATTGAACCGAAGGTTTTATCTGAAGTACTGCATGGCTGAGGAATGCGGTAGGACTGCTCTGCTCTCCTGGTGCTGAGGAAGGACCTCCAAGCGACAAGTGTCCTACGGCAGGGAGCAGAGCCACAGGGCTCGGCAGCGGGGCTGCCCGTTTCCCGGGACAAAACGGCTCCCAAGAGTGGGCACGGGGAGCTCGGCTGCCGTTTTCACCCTTGGTGACGAGGAAATGGAGCGCTTGGCATTAGCCTGGCAGGGACAGTTGGCACAGGTGGAGCAGGCACCTGCACAGAGCTTTGTCCAAGGTGGCTTGAAGGTGTTAGAGGGGTGCTGGGGGACTGAGCTCCGACCTCGTCTCCACGGCTGTGATAGCAGGAGTAGAGCTCTGTAGCCTGGGTGCGGGTGATGGGATGGAGTTGGGCTGTTACCCCAAGAGGAATGAGCATGCAAAGGGAGTCCCGTTCTCCTGAGACCCTGGGGTCTCTCGTGCGTGGCCAGCATTCAGGCATCATGCATGGCCAGCAGCTCTCCTGAGCACATGGGGGTTGCTGTGTGCACAGGGGGTATTCGGTGCACCGAATGCCATGTGCCAGGCTTGCAGTGCTGGCCCACTCCGTGCAGTGGGAACACCCAGGCTTTCCAAGCTGTGTGGGGCCAGGCTTCCAGCTGGGAGAGGAGAAGTTTCGAGGGAACAGCAGCTCTGTGCCCAGCTCCCTGAAAAATGAGGGTTCACGCTGCATCTTTCTGCTTTCCCCTGTGGTGAGCTGGAAGGCTCTGCTGTAGGGAAGCAGCTGCTGATAATTGCATTGGGAAGAGGTTCAGCGCCTCTCGCGGGGCCATGGATTCCACAGGGCTGTTGGGTGGAAAGGGAGCACCTGAGTGGTGAGAAAAGGAGTTGAGGGCGTGTTGGGATGAAGATCTGGCAGAGACGCAGTGAGGGGCAGAGAGTGAGCATCGGCTTGGCGTGGGGCAGTGTTGGTCTCACCGGTGCTTGGGCAGCCTGCGCTGCCCCATGGCT